TCGCACACATAGCCTCAGTGAAGTTAGAAGATGTGAAGGAAGAACCAATCGGATGAGGAGCCCTCAAAATCTTTCGACTCAGAGAGCTTACCTCTCCAGAGAACTTGAGTGGTCGTGAATCTTCTTTCCCGGTAAGAGAATCGTCCACTATACATGCCATTAGCTAATCCCACGACAGACCCTCAAAACGCTCTTCCATCGGACTTGAACGGCAAGATCCAGAGATATTGCACACCATAAAATGACCGGCGACACTTGTGCGAATAACAGCAGAAGAGGAATTGCAACAGAGGAACAATGAGCTCGGTGGCAACGACGGAAGAGGCGATCGACGAAAACCGACCAAAGATGGTGAGAGAAAAGGATGAAGACAGAGTGAGAGAGAGAGGACACCAGTGAAATGTCAGGTCAGCCGAACGAAGATGAGTAAAGTACCCAGGGGTATTTTTGAATTTCACTTTAAAATGGGAAATCTTTACCTATCAGTGCCTTATAATGGGGACCAGATATATCTTCAAAAAATAATCTTATAATGCGGATCGAAGGGAGTAATATTTATGTAAATAGGCCAGCCCATTAGACTTATAAACTAAACCTTGTAAAAATAAGACAGGTTTGTTTAATTAAATAAACCTAATCAAATGGGCCTATTCTAGACCCTAAACCTTTTACGAGGACTTGACGTATTTTAACGATCAGACTAGCTATTGGCTAACTCTGCCCTCGTCACATCTGAAGCTTTATGTAGGAAAAGATGTAGAACTGATCCAAAGTGTAAAATTTGTGGCCTTTATGATGAATCATTGCAGCATTTATTCCTGTTATAAATGTGAGTGGGTTAAAGCTGGGTGGTCTGGGTGTTATTTGAATATTATAATCAACCCAATGCAAATCAGTAATTCTCATGTGCTCGTCATCGTCTATGGATGATTATGGGAAAGCTTATGCGGCTTTGTTTTGACGTTGATAAGATCAATTTTTTTTAAAACATTTTTACATGAATTAAATTCTTACTTCACTTTCAGATAAAAAATATTCATATTTCATTTTCATGCTGTTGTTGATACACTAACCAACTTCTAAAAAAGGAGTGATTGATTCATTGGGTTGATTACAGACTTTTTTTTTGAAAAAAAAAAAATAAAATCAGACCTTGTGTCATATTTCCTAGTATAAACCAAAATTTGCCCATTCTGGTGCATCTCTTCATTTGCAACAACAAATTATTTATTTCCTTAAAAATCTAGTTTCTATCCCTTGCCCATTCTACAGTCAAATGAGAAATTAATGGTTAGAAATCACTGACAATTTCTCATAAAGGGCTGGTTTTTCAGATTTAAAGGCAAAACAATTGAGCCAGATATATTTCACAGACAGAAGAAGTATATCTTCTCAATATAGCCTTGCTTAAGATATAACAATATAATACATATAATTCAATCGCATATTGTATTTACATGTGCTGGGAGAGTATTTAATATATTAATAATATAGCAACTTACTCTATATTATAATGAATAAAACATCGTTTAGCTTCTGTCTGAACATATAGATTAAGAAACATATTTTGAATATGGAAAATTATATATGAGAGTTCCTACAGAAATGCAAACACAACTCTACCTGTGTAGAATATGCACTGATAGAAGAATATAGAATCAATGGAAGAGACTGATCTGTTGAATGAAGGAGACTATTGATGGGAAGCTTAATTTCTGGAAAATAGGACGGATTGTTGAAGGTGGAAATATCTTGTGTAGTTACAATCAATTAGAACAAAATACATAGCATAATTTTTTAATTAGGATTATGTTTTTTGAGATTGAGAGTGCTTGGATTCGAAATCCTGGCTCGACTTGTGAAAACAAAACACTTTCACCACCAAGTCACAAGGTTCACGGCATAGGATCACTTAGTTACTTTTTAAATTAAAAAAGAAAGTTAGGATCGAAACATTTATATATAAGAAACATGCTTCAAAGAGACCCTCAAACTCGTCTTACCCATATATCATTTTTTTTTTGGGCATCGAAGCAGCGATTTTCTTTGGCTTGTGGAAAATTAAAATAAGATTTGACTAGAAAAGATAATGGGAGATGATCAGGCTAGATATACAAAGAAATTAATAACATAATATCAAATAATGTTGATAATATATGATTATTTATACAATTATATATAATAGATAGAAGATATTATATATAATAAACATTTTTTATCTCGATAATTGATCAACACTTATAGATGATAGAGATAAAAAATTGTAATTGTAATTAAGGGCTTGTGTTTTTTGGCTTCTTTTATAAAAAAAATTACTTATTTTTTTAAAAAAATTATTTTGTGAGGTTTTATGATATTTGTTGAACTTTTGAAAATAATCAAAATTAAAGAAAAGCAAATTTTTGATTATTTTAGAAGCTATTTTGAATTTTTTTAAAATAATTTAATACAATAAATGAGAGAGTATGTTCTAAAAAAGCAGGATGCATGACGATGTTATAAAATTTTAAAATAATATAATAATTAATCATTTTTATAAAATAAAAATTAAGAAAGATATTATAAAATTTAAAAATAACTAATTAATAGCCACTTTTTTATTATGAAAATTAAACATGAAATAATTATAAAATCTCTACAAAAGAAATCTCTTTTTATAAAATTTCTAAACTATTTAAAAATTATGTATTTTTTAATCTTACATAAACAGCCCTAAATATGAATTGTTATGTGATTATGTTTTTAAATTGTCAGTTGTGACTACATGATTGTTAATATAAAATCGTTAAGATATTAATTATCAAAAAGTAGTTAAGATATTAAAGATATGATCACATACTTTTTGAATTAAAAATAAAATAAGTTAGGAACGAAACTTATACATACATACAAACAAGAGATTAACATTCTTCAGGTACATACAAGAAACATTCTTCAGAGAATTCCTCAAACATCTCTCACTTCTATATCATTTTTCTATAGAAAATGTCGAGTGTGGTAGGAAGTGACAGTGTTCAAATCGTAGATGTTTGGAAAGACAACATGGAACAAGAGTTCTTGTTGATTCCGAAACAATTTCCCATGTGTCCTTGAACACAATTCTCAGGGTCGCTTTTTACAGGAAGGAGTTATAGAGCTTTGTCAGGAAACCCAGGACTCGCCAAACTATCATTCAAGTGGGAATAATTACATATGGAAATAGGAAAAAAATATGTAAAACCAATATAAGCTCTGATTGGAGAGACCGTGTGGCTATAGTGTACGGAAATAATTGCATATGAAGGAAAAAATAACTCTCCCTTCCTAGGGAAGATGACAGATGGGGACGGAATACATGCATTCAGTAAGGATTTATATTTGATGACTGCACTTATGAACATATATCGTCTGAACCATTAAAATTCATATCAATAATTATGAAATTACACTCAACTTAAGATTAATTAACATGTGGGTTTATTTGGATTTCAACGGCTCACATGATACAGGCACTCAATGCCTGTGTTAAGTTCAGTTACTGAATCTAAATTCAGAATATAAAATGAGACATCTAAGGTAAACATGTATAGGTGACCATGGTTTATTCATTTATTGACCAATCTCGTTTAAGCATAAATGAAAATCAACCAATCACGGAGGAGAGAATGACGCCCAGTCAGATGAGAGCTACGCAATTTGTATATTATAAATTATAAATTGAATCGAATGAATTGATATAGTTGATGACACAAGCAAATATATTGAAATGAGGAGTAGGAGTTTATGAATCTTAATTACCGGCTTGGCTGATTGAGGACAACAATGGCCTCTTCGAAATAGACTACGATACCTCAGACCAGTATCATGCCCATAGTAAACCTCTTAAATTTTCATATGAATTACTTCTTCCAGATTATAATATAAGACATATTTTAAAAGTCTTGCTTAATTTAAAATATAACATTGAATAACTTTTATAATTACTTTTTCAACTATACTCCTATTGTATTTATTATTTTTTAAGAAAATCATACATTAAAATTTTAATTATTATTATTAAAGCACTTATACGGGATATTTAATGAGTAAAATTAAAAAAATATAATTTTTTTTTAAAAATTAAGGTTTCAACTAATATTTTTTTAAAAATCATGAATTAATTACCAATACCTTATATTTCAGTCCAAAAAGAATATATTGGATGTTACAACAATGTCGTTTTTCTCTATATATAAATGGTTTCTTGAGCCAATAATAAATTTTCACTTTTCTTTGTTCGTTTCTATAAAAAAGGCCATGCAAAATATGAAAAAGCACTGGAAAAAAATTAAAAATAATATTATGTTCTTTATATTCTCTGTGTTCTTTTTTAGAAGTCAACTTCAGATACAAGTAAAATTCTATGATGTTGGAAAAACAAAAACTTGGAAATTTTTATATAATGTAAAATTTAATTATAAATAGTTGCACTATTTACAAATTATAAAAATCACAACTATAATTCTAACTTTACGTGCAATATATGAGTCCTTCATCTAATCTAATTAAAGCATGTAAAAGAAAAGTAATACCTTGTGTTCTTCATTTATAGTTGTGAATGTAAATGACGAGAGGGGAAAAAAAACTATAATAGAGAATCCAAATCGATATTTTAGACATTTCATAACATAAGAATATAATCTGAAATATTGTTCAGCATTAATAGGAAGAATTTAAATAATTTGACCAAAACTAAATATTTAATTTTTCTTTCTAACATTTTGAATAAAGATAGAGATTAGGATATTTATATTTTATTAATTTTAAACTTCAAATATTTTCTAAAATAACAGTCCAAATAATGACAAAGAATTTAATCTTTATTTGAATAAAATTTGAATTAATAAATGCTCGGTTGAATATTTAAATAATCTTTTTGCGCAATGTTCAACCTCTATATAAATACACCATCGCTTACTCGGTTTGCTTAAAAGATCGATCACTTCTATAATATTCTCTGCCATTATTTCCACCTTCAACGATCCGTCGATTTCATTCATATTTTCCAGAAAGCTTCACATCACTCATATCGTCTCCTTAATTCATCAGTATCAGACCATTCCATCCATTGCATTCTTCTACCGCGCGCATAACAATTATTAAATTCATTCACTGCATATTCTTCAGGTAAAATTCTACATTATTCTTGGTAATACTGTTCATTTCTGTGCAGCAAATTAAATCTCCATTTCTCTCTTTCATACATCAGTTTGTCCAGAGAGCGTGTTTGCATTTCTAAATAGGAACTTTCATATATAATCTTTGCATTTCTTGATGTAAAGATTCATCGTCTTTTTAGTTTCTTTCATTTCTTGCATGGTGTAATTCACTACTATATATATATATATCATTTAAAGAACGATCACTTCTATAATATTATCGGCCATTATTTCCACCTTCAACATTAAGCAGTCCAATTCTTTCATATTTTCCAGAAACCTTCACACTCCATATATATCGTCTCCTTCATTCATCAGTATCAGTCTATTCCATCGATTGCATATTCTTCTACCTTACAACAATAATTAAATTCAGTCTCTGTATATTCTTCAGGTAAAATTCTATATTCTTCTTGGTACTTCCTTTCATTTCTGGCCATCAAATCTTTGCATTTCTTGGTGTGAAGCTTTATCTTCTTTTTAGTTTCTTTCATTTCTTGGTGCGAAGCTTTATCTTCTTTTTAGTTTCTTTCATTTCTTGGTGTGAAGCTTTATCTTCCTTTTTAGTTTCTTTCATTTCTTGGTGTGACGTAACTCACATATATCATTTTTGCATCTGTAAAGGGATTTTTCTTTAATTCATTTAAAGAAAATATGTCGACGAGTCTTGAAGGAAGTGATGACAGTGTTCAAATAGTAGATGTTTGGAAAGACAACATAAAACAAGAGTTCGACTTCATTATTGATGCCAAAAAGACACATCCATATGTATCCTTGGACACAAAATTCTCAGGTTCTCTTTTCATAGTAAGAAACTATGGAGCATTGACTGGAAACCTGGGACTGGCCAAACTCATACAAGTGGGTCTCACGTTGTCCGATGAAAACGGTCAATGTCCCATGGTCAATGGTCAACGTGTCTGCTGGCAATTCAACTTCTGTGAGTTCAATCCAAAAACGGATCCAAAATCCAGAGACATGATCGAAGCCCTGAGAGACAATGGTATGGATTTGGAGAAGAACCAGAAAGATGGCGTGACATACAGCGAATTTGCAGAGCTTCTGATGTCGTCTGGGCTTGTAATGAGGGACGAGGTTTCATGGATTACGTTTCAAGGTTCGTCTCATTTCGGGTACTTAGTGAAGCTGCTGACTGGGAAGAAGAATCTTCCAGAAACAGAACAAGAGTTCTTGGAGATTCTCAAGTATTGTTTCCCAGTTTCTTATGATGTCAAGCACCTGATAAGATCATCCACCAACGTAAATCTGCAACAGCATGGTGGTGGTGAACTGGAAGATGTTGCCAGATTTCTGGAGGTGAAGGCTAGAGTTGGACCGCCGGCGGCGGGCAAACCAAGCCGGTTCAGAAAGTTTGCTGACGAGTTTTGTGTTCAATAAACTGAAACATGATCCTCAGTACTTCAATGGAGCTATACCAGAGACATGTCGTGGTGTTTTGCCCGGCTTGGCCGGTATTCAACTTTAGTCAAATGTAACTGAAGGAGACAAGTATGGTTCTGAATAAGTCTCAGATTCGTAATTGTGGAGTTTGTCTGGGTGGGTCAGTTTAATATTCGTAAATGTGAATGAACTGCAGTGACTTGGAATTGTTATATAGAAAAGTTGCGTCTTCTGTTATTCTTGTGTTTGAGAATTTAAAACTTGCAAAATCCCAATTTGAAGAATGAAGAGAAGACTAACAATTTACGTATGGCATATATTGTTGTTTGCTCGGATTTTTCGTGTCAAGTTCATTCGGGCTAGAGATCCGGTGCGTTTTTCTAATGTCTTTTATAATGCCCAATTTTTCAATTTTGTTTTCTTTCTTTCTTTTTGTTGGGATAATTGACTTTGACATAAGATAAGAGACATTTCAATGCATTGAAGTTTCAAAACAGTAAAGTTTTTTTTTACAATTTTTCAAAAATAAAAGAGTGTAACTGTGATATTCTTTGACCATTCCTGAGAAAAGGAAAACAAAATTTTAAAAGCAGAAAAATTACAAAGAGGATTCGAAAAAGTCATATTAGAGGCCCTTAACCCAATTTATTTGCTCTTAGTAACTAACTTTTCCCCCTTTTTTTATTATGAGATTTTTTTTTTGGCCAAAGGAAATTCGATTGGTATCACATGTGATCAAACTACAGTAATATCCAGCAAATGAAACAAAATAGAACCAACAAATAAACAAAAATAGATATTTTTAAACTTGAATAAATTGATTGATAAACAATAACAGATGATACATATCAAAATATCCTTCTAATTTAAACTTGAATATTTGATTAATTATTTGAATATTTCAACAAAAGTTTTCTAAAATTTTAATGTCCTATTTCGAAAAATTGTTTTACTTAAAAAAATATTCGAATAAAAATCTCATTATATTTTTTGAAAATATCTCGTATCTCCTCAAAAATCTTCAAACCTATCCTCAACAAAATCTTAAGTTGCCCGTTATGACTATGTTTGTTAATATAAAATGGTTAAGATACGAATCATCAAAAAAGTAGTTAAGATATTAAAGATACGATCACATTCTTTTTGAATTATAAGGAAGAAGAAGTTAGGGTTTAAACCTTTATATATAAAAGAAATATTCTGGGTTGAAGCCCTCAAACTCGTCTCACTTCTTCTATATCATTTTCTTTTCAAGTAGAAAATGTCGAGTGTGGAAGGAAGTGACAGTGTTCAAATCGTAGATGTTTGGAAAGAAAACATGGAACAAGAATTCTCGGTGATTCGTGCAGCCAAAAGCAATTTCCCATATGTATCCTTGAACACAAAATTCTCAGGATCGCTTTTTACAGTAAGGAGTTATGGAGCATTGTCAGGAAACCTAGGACTCGCCAAACTCATTCAAGTGGGTCTCACGTTGTCTGACGAACAAGGTAACATTCCCATGATCATGAGTTCGACAACGCACGAGGCCAAGCAACGTGTCTGGCAGTTCAACTTCTGCGAGTTCGATCCAAAAACCGATCCCAAATCTCGAGACATCATCGAGACTCTAATTTACAATGGTATAGATTTTGAGAAGAACAAGAATTGTGGTATCAAATACAGCGATTTTGCAGGGTTTTTAATGTCGTCGAGGCTTGTTCAGGACGATAAGGTTCAATGGATTGCCTTTGGTTCGTCTGATTTGGGTACATGGTGAAGCTGCTTACTGGGAAGAAGAATCTTCCAGAAAAAGAACAAGAGTTCTTCAAGATTCTTAAGGATTTCTTCCCTGTTTCTTATGATCTGAATTACCTGATAAAATTTACCACCAACCTGCGAGGTGGTCTGGAAGACGTTGCTAGGGTTTTGGGGGAGAAGAGAGTCGGACCGACGGCACAAGCCGGTTCAGATAGTTTGCTCACGAGTCGTGTATTCAAGAAGCTCAAACATGAGCATGTCTACTTCAATGGAGCTATTCCTGAGACATGTCGTGGTGTTTTGTCCGGCTTAGCTGGTATTGAACTTTAGTTTGGTTTGGATAGATATAGCGAAAAGTGAAAAGAAATTAGAGAAAAAAGAAAACTAGAAGAAAAATTTTCAAAGATAATAAATTTTGTATTTTTTTTTAAATTTTTTCCCTAATTTTCTTTTTTCTCTATTTTTGTCTAACTTTAGTAGTTTTAAATTGAAGTCTCTTTGGTTTTTTTAGAATAATTGCAACTCATCCCAAGTTTTAAATTGAGATGACAAGGCTAATCTTTGTTAATTTCTTCCCTGACAACCTTTTTTGTTTCTTCTGCAGTTTGCTTTTTTGGGTCTATATTAGGGAAAAACTTGTGTACTTTGAAGTACTTATTTCTAATTAAATCAATAAATTAGCATATTGTTTATTTCATAATAAATTTTTTTATTAATATTATTAACACATTAAAATTTAGTTGCTGTAATTTGATTGTATAGAAATAAAAAGGACGTGTGTATAAGAAAGAGGACAAAAATCAGTATATAAAGTCTATAACAGGTGCACCTGTGAAACCCAGTCTTGCTAGGTAGGATTGTTCTATATTTCACTGTTTCACCTTGATATATGTTAGATTCTTATTTTAATTGGAATTATTTATTATTGAAAACAATTAAAGAATTAGTGTTTACTATTTAAGCAAAACATGATTTTAGAATTTATAATTTTGACTCAATAAAAAATTTAATTCCTGAATTTTGACTCAATTAAAATTATAAGTATCGAGTTGTGCTTAATTAAAGTATAAAAATTGAGTTTTACAATCAAAATTATGGGATTGAGTTATACTAAGTTAAAATTTAGGAATCGTTTTTACAATCGAGTCAAAACTATAATGATCAGATTAATGTGTAAATGAACATTATGTGATGAGACAAAGCTAGCAATCAGAGGGTGAATATCAGAAATGTGTGTGATTAAATTTAGAAAATAAAACAGGATGAGCATTGACTAAATGTGTGTGCGTGTCTATATTACTATATATAGAGAGAGAGAGGAAGAGAGAGAATCTGGAGGGGGCGAAGCAGTATGAGAGAGTGGAGAGATAAGGAATATAATTAAGATTGGTCGGCCTCTAATGAAAAAGAATATCTTCTGTTGGAAGAATAATGAACTTTGGTCGGCCTCTAATAAAAAATAAACTTTCATGACCATTCATTTTCTTTCTTTCTTTCTTTCTTTTTTGTTGTCAAATTCATTCAGGTTAGGGAACTGGTGCTTTTCTCTATTGTTCTTTGTAATAGCCAACTTTTTAATTTTTTTTCTTTGAATAATTGACTTCTATAAAATAAGAAACATTTTAATATTTTAAAAATTTAAAAAGATAACTTTTTATTTTTTACAATTTTTCAAAAATAAAAAAATTATAAAAAAAAATACAAAACTTGATCGTTTCAAGACTTCAAATAGCCGAAAACAAAAGGGAAAAAAAAATTGAAAGCTAGGAAGTTATAAAGAGCATAAAGAAAGGCACAAGGTTCCTATCCCAATTTATTCACTATGAGTATAACTTCTTTTCACTTTATTTTTTAAGGAAATTCGATTGGTATCACATGTGATCAAACTACAGTAATATCCAGCAAATAAAACAAAATAGAACCAACAAATAAACAAAAATAAATATTTTTTATCTCGGTAATTGATAGATAAACAATAACAGATGATAGATATCAAAATATCCTTCTAACTTAAACTTGAATATTGCTCAATTATTCGAATATTTCAACAAAATTTTTCTAAAAATTTTATGTTCTATTCTGAAAAATTGTTTTTTAAAAAAAAAATCGAATCAAAATCTCATTTTTTTCAAAAAAAAATGTTTCATATCTCTTCAAAAATCTTCAACTTATCCTCAACAAAATTTTAAATTGCCAGTTATGACTACATGTTTGTGAATATAAAATGGTTAAGATATTAATAAAAAAAAAATAATTAAGATATTAAAGATATGATCACATACTTTTTGAATTTTTTTTAAGTTGGCGTTAAAACCTTTATATATAAAAGGAAACGTCCTGGAGAGAAGCCCTCAACCTCGTCTCACTTTCTTCTATATCTTCTCTCTCTCTCTAGAAAATGGCGAGCGTGGAAGGAAGTGACAGTGTTCAAATCGTAGATGTCTGGAGAGACAACATGGAACAAGAGTTCTCGTTGATTCGTGCAGCAAAAAAACAAGTTCCCGTATGTATTCTTGAACACAAAATTCTCGGGATCGCTTTTTACAGAAAGGAGTTATGGAGCATTGTCAGGAAACCTAGGACTCGCCAAACTCATTCAAGTGGGTCTCACGTTGTCTGACGAACAAGGTAACATTCCCATGATCATGAGTTCGACAACGCACGAGGCCAAGCAACGTGTCTGGCAGTTCAACTTCTGCGAGTTCGATCCCAAAAACCGATCCCAAATCTCGAGACATCATCGAGACTCTAATTTACAATGGTATAGATTTTGAGAAGAACAAGAATTGTGGTATCAAATACAGCGATTTTGCAGGGTTTTAATGTCGTCGAGGCTTGTTCAGGACGATAAGGTTCAATGGATTGCCTTTGGTTCGTCTGATTTTGGGTACATGGTGAAGCTGCTTACTGGGAAGAAGAATCTTCCAGAAACAGAACAAGAGTTCTTCAAGATTCTTAAGGATTTTTCCCTGTTTCTTATGATCTGAATTACCTGATAAAATTTACCACCAACCTGCGAGGTGAACTGGAAGACGTGGCTACGGTTTGAGGGAGAAGAGAGTTGGACCGACGGCACAAGCCGGTTCAGATAGTTTGCTAACGAGTCGTGTATTCAATAAGCTCAAGCATCAGCATGTGTACTTCAATGGAGCTATACCTGAGACATGTCGTGGTGTTTTGTCCGGCTTGGCTGGTATTGAACTTTAGTTTGGTTTAGATAGGCGTAGCGAAACTTCAAGAGGTAATAAAATTTTTATTATTTTTAAAAATTAACTCCCCTAATTTTCTATCCTCTCTATTTTTCTCTAACAGTAGTAATTTTAAATTAAAGTCTCTTTTTTTTTTTGTTTTGAATGACAAGACTAATCTTTGTTAATTTCTTCTTTATTTACGATAACTCCTTTGTGTCTCGTGTATTTTTTTTTTTTTTTTTGGGTTTATTTCGGGGAGACTTACATATCTAGATGTGCTTGTTTATTCTATAATAAATTTTTATTACAAATGTTATTAAAACATTAAAATTTGCTTGTCATAATTGGATTGTTTTGAAATATACTCTCTCTGATCCTATTTATAGGTTAGAAAGAGAAGATATTTTTTAGTCTTATATTTATAAGTTACATCATTAAATTTTTATGACAAATTTCTTCATTTACCCTCTACTGAATGTTAGCGAGAGAAAATATATTGTTAAAATATGTATATTTAATAGGAAAAATTTAAAAAATTATTAAACTTCTAGACAGAAATAATGAGTTTTAAAGTTTTTTTGGTTGCAATGAAACATGTTAAAAGTGATTATAAATAGGATAAAAAGAGCATTAAGTATATAGGCTTCTTTTACAAATGGTTAGAATTAATTAATTAATTAATATTCCAATAATTATCGACTGATAGTAGAATAAGGAATTATTGCTAAGATATTGAATAGATATTTTCGAAGATGATGGAATTTCTAGATAATATTAATATATGTTAGAATTAAGGTTCAAATTAAATATAAATCTAATCTATTAATATTTGTGTTAAAATTTTGAATTTTCCATCTATATTATTTAATTATGTGCAAGATAATAGTACACAATTTAAATTTGAATTTTCATGACAAATTTTAAAATAGAATTTAATTAATTTCTTGCCTGTGATATCCCAATTAAATTATCAATTGATTTTTTTATTTTACTTTTATAATTGATTTTTTGATTTTGAAATTAAATATTTATTTTTTTAAAAAAATTTTATTATGATATATTTATAATAATAAAATCCATCTATATATAAAAGTAGGATTTGATTTAAGGTTGTTCCTGTGACCATATAATTTTTGCTTATATAATTTAATTTTTTGAGAGAATGATAAAATGAAATTATTATTCTCTTTGAATTTTAATCTTTCCAAGTTACATATAATTTTAAGAAGATTGTACTGCTCATAGAGTCACTTGCTTTTAAAAGTTTAAAGTTAATGACAAAGGTCTTGATAGGAAGCTTAAAATGCTAAAAGAGGAAATAAAAATTTAAAGATTTTGAAATGAGAATATATGGCTTATTAATACAAATATTTTGAAAGTTTAACTCTTAGCTACTTTTACAAACTTTCTATTGCAATATTACCGGTGTGTAATCAATGCAAATAATAAAAAAATTCTAAAGTAAGATTAATTAATATCTCAACCACTTTTTCCTAATTAATATCTTAGCTAGCTTAAACATTTTATATTAACAACCATGTAGTCTTAGCTGACAATTGAAACATAACCGGATTACAATTCATATTTTTTTTTTATATATCTATCATCGATCTATATTGTTTATCTATCACTTATCGAGGTTAACAATATCTATTATATAGTGTCTTCTATTCTGTTATATAAGTATATAAATAATAATATATTATCGACATTATTTGATATTTTGCTATTAATTTTTTTTGGAATGATATTTTGTTATTAATTTGTTTGTATAGATAACTTATTATGACTTATATCTAGCATGATCATCTCCCACAGGGACGGAGCTACGTTGTACGTTGAGGGAAGGTTCAGCCACTTCATGACGTAGAACACAGGAATTGCAGCAAGGCTTTTAGCTTCCAGGTTCCCCATTCACACACGCACACATATATTATTATATAATTATAGAGACTTGCATGTAAATTGTTGAGCTAGTGGCATTGCAAGGTAATAAGGTATTGCTGATGTGGCACTGTAAGGGTAATATGGTATGCACTTAGCTTGGAATAAGACTACAAATTTTTAACAAGAGTATTGCCTATCATATTTTTTTTATGATTAATATTTATATAAACTCCCTTTGACACTATTTATGATGTAAAAAGAGAATAATTTGTTTACTCATTGTCCTATTTAATTATATGACAATGAGAGAGCATTTGTTTGGTCCTACTTATAAAATACTTCGAAGATTATTTTATCATCTTTATCCTTTCATCCTTATTAAATGTTGGGAAGATTATTACATGTTAAAATATTTTATTTTTTAAAATTAT